CAAAGATAGAAGTAAAAATAGAGGTGATATACAGTGCCTGTGCTGTATGCAGGTGTGCATGTGGACTGAACATGGCCATTAACTACCTTACTTACAGTACCTATTTTATATGTTTCAGTGATCTAACATTGCATTGGTCTACTGTGTGACAGCAAAGCACAAATGTAATATAATAGTCAAATGCTTCTTTAGGATACTGTATTAGTTTCAGTTGAAGTCAGACTTATTAGACTAGATGGACAGCAACATTTTAAATGTGATACCTGTGATGATCTCTCCTTTCATACCACCACTCCACTGTCACAGCAATGCTCTCCCTCTTTGGAGACTTTGTCATGCACAAAGTAGAGGGCCGATTAGAAACCTTGGTTTGCGTACACATGGCCAAGAAATTGTCTTTCTTCAGAATCAATCTGCTTTTTTTAAGTGGACCTTCAGACTGAAAACAGCCCTGTTTGAAGGCTTATCAATCACCAAAACACTGCATTGCACTGCAACTGTTTATGTTATCATGAGGAAGGATTTCACTGCTCTGGAAAGTTATCATAGTGGCAATCATTTTATCTTTTGCCATTACAGTTGTGAGGCAAACAGTATAAATATGGCATTGACATTACAAAGTAACCTACCAGGAATGTCAGCTTGGACATATTTGATTTGCCAAAAAAGTACCCTGCCAGATAAGGTGCAATGCCTTCCAGCAAAAGTTGAGGCAGGTTCAACTTTTTTGCCAGACAGCCCTGCAGTTTTTGGTCAGAACCGTAAGCACTGGCACTCCAGTTGCATCAACGCAACTAATGTTGGTCTGAATGTCCGAATGCTGCACACACTGATTGTTGTTTTTGTTTTTTACATTTTGTTTTAGGTAATGCAAGATAAAATCATATGCCTTCCTCACAAGAACACAACTGACATGGACCTGCAATTCAATATTTCAGCTGTACCAAGAGAAATGACAGGCCGGAAGACCGATCTGGATCTTCAACAATACAGTTTCATCAATCAGATGTGTTATGAGAGGGCTCTGCATTGGTATGCCAAGTACTTTCCTTATTTAGTTCTTTTGCACACTCTAATTTTTATGGTGTGTAGCAACTTCTGGTTCAAATTCCCTGGCTCGAGCTCTAAAATTGAGCATTTTATCTCTATGCTTGGCAAGTGTTTTGACTCTCCCTGGACCACACGAGCTTTGTCGGAGGTGTCTGGAGAAAATCCCGAAGAAAAGGACCACAAAAAGAGTGGCACTTCTAGGTCCAACCTTGCTGTGTCTCCCGGAGAAGGCGATTTGGAAAGGACACAGTCTCTCCGGTCTATCCCAGAAAAGATTGTAGTTGACAAGCCATCAGCAAGTGTTCTTGATAAAAAAGAGGGCGAACAGGCTAAAGCTCTTTTTGAAAAGGTAAAAAAGTTCCGTTTGCATGTTGAGGAAGGAGACATCCTCTATCTTATGTATGTTCGCCAGACAGTGTTCAAGGTATTTAAATTCCTCCTGATCATTGGCTATAATAGTTCTCTAGTGAATAAAGTGCGGAATACAGTACGTTGCAAAGTTGACATCCAGGAAATGACAGGCTATAATGACTTTCAATGTAATCACACTATGGCTCATTTGTTTTCTAAGCTTTCTTACTGTTACCTGTGTTTAGTGGCTGTCTATGGATTGACGAGCCTATACACCTCTTGCTGGCTGTTTTACCGCTCACTGAAAGAATACTCCTTTGAGTATGTGCGACAGGAAACAGGCATCAATGACATCCCAGACGTCAAGAACGACTTTGCTTTCATGCTACACATGATTGATCAGTATGACCCTCTGTATTCTAAACGATTTGCAGTCTTTCTATCCGAGGTCAGTGAGAACAAACTGAAACAGCTCAACCTCAACCATGAGTGGACTGCAGAGAAGTTGCGTCAGAAACTGCTGACTAACTCCAACAACAGACTTGAACTTCAGCTGTTCATGCTCCCTGGTTTACCTGACACTGTCTTTGAGTTGACAGAGCTGCAGTCACTAAAGCTAGAGATCATCAACAATGTCACCATCCCTGCCTCAGTCTCTCAGCTGAAAGACCTTCAGGAGCTGTCTCTTTACCAGTGCTCTTTAAAGTCTCACACAACAGCTACCTCCTTCCTCAAAGAGAACCTGAAAGTGCTTCGTGTGAAGTTTGATGATAACAGGGAACTTCCAAATTGGATGTATGGCCTGCGCAATTTAGAGGAGCTCTATCTCACTGGATCCCTAAGCACTGATGCCTCCAAAAATATAGTTCTTGAGTCACTGCGGGAGATGAAGTGTTTGAAAACCCTCTCCCTTAAGAGTAATTTGACCAAGATACCCCAGTCTATAGTGGACGTTTCCAACCATCTGCAGCGGCTGTACTTACACAATGATGGCACTAAGCTAGTAATGCTCAACAACCTGAAAAAGATGTCCAATCTTATTGAGCTGGAGCTAGTGCGTTGTGATCTGGAGCGCATTCCACACGCAATCTTCAGCCTGACGAATCTGCAGGAGCTTGACCTTAAGGAGAATAACCTTCGCTCAATAGAGGAGATTATCAGCTTCCAACATCTTCGAAAACTCATTTGCCTCAAACTTTGGTACAATGGTATCATGTATATCCCAGAGCATATCAAGAAGCTTGGTAGCCTAGAGCGCCTCTACTTCAGTCACAACAAGATTGAGATATTGCCTTCGCACCTGTTCTTGTGCAACAAGCTGCGCTACCTGGACGTGTCCAACAATGACATTCGATTCATCCCTCCAGAAATTGGAGTCCTTCAGAGTCTTCAGTATTTCTCTGTCACCTGTAACAAAATCGAAAATCTGCCAGATGAGCTCTTCTTTTGCAAAAAGCTCAAAACACTAAAGCTTGGCAAAAACTCGCTGTCCATACTCTCGCCAAAGATTTCCTACCTAGCTCTACTGACATACTTGGAGCTCAAAGGCAACCACTTTGAGCTTCTCCCACAAGAGCTTGGTTGCTGTCGTGCTTTGAAGCGCAGTGGCCTTATAGTGGAAGAGACACTGTTTCAAACTCTGCCTTCAGATGTCAGGGACCAAATGAAGGCAGAGTAAAATGCCTTATTGTAGCCACAGTGCCTGCTGTTAGTTCTGTTTACCAGTTCAGAGCATTTGTTTTGTATGAACTCATTACCATACTTTAGTATTACACTACTGTTAAGAAAGTTAGGAGTTATATCTCCAGTTTCCTTGACGAAGGGAAAAATTAGACTCAATATATTGTCACAAAGAGTGTGGCTGCAACAGAGTTGCTTTTCTGTTGTTAGAGTATTAACTTTTGAAATATTATCCGGCCATAAATCCTTCTTGGTGAGAGTTAGATGAGACAAGTACCAAGTTTCCAAAGGTGAAAAAATACACTTACCAGCACTAATGCACAACTAATTAAAGTGTTACAGCTTGTTTGTTTAATCCGTAAAAAAATACAAGTTGTGGTTTCATAGGGAGTTACATGCTGGACTGTTTTTTGGTGTGGTGCAGTTCCTAGAGCCTCTTAATTGATGCTGGTAGGTGGACAGAGCCAGGCTAGCAGTTTCCCCATGCTTCCAGTCTTTATGCTAAGCTAACTGTCTGCTAGCTGTAGCTTTATATTTTGTCTACAGACAGGAGAGAGATCTTCTCATCTAACTCTGCTTTCAGTGAGAAAGCAAATAAGCCTATTTCCCAAAATGTTTAACCATTTCTAAGCACATTTCCTGCTATGTACAACAATGTAAGTACTGAATGTAAATCTAAACTGAAGACCTCACTTAAGTTTAGGCCAGTAGCCTTACATATGCTGTATTTTATATATTTTATTTTTATTTCTGTCCAAGAGACTGTTAGTTCACATGGACCGCAGCAGGGAGAATGCAAAAAAACAAAGGATATATCATACATAAGTACATTGTATACCTTGGCTAAACAATTCTGTATTATAGAAAGATGACATTTTGAAGTGCATTAAACTTGAAGGACTATGTCATCCTGGTGTTTTTCTTCAAGTCTTGAAATGTGCACAAAAAGTATGCAGCCTATTACAAAAGTGGATTTTTCTAAACAGTATTTTATATTATTGACAAATAAAAAAGTATTTACTTAAAAAATGCCATTTATTCGGTTGGAATTTCTAACAGCACAAAAATCTACTATTTAAAAAAAGTATTAACAGATTTTGACAAAAAATTCCCCCAAATACTCAACCCTAACCCTAGGATTGCAATATGCACTAAAGTAAATGTTCTAAATTGACTAGAATTTTGGAGAAAATATAAAATTCAATCTATTATGTTTCTTTATAGCTGAAAGGGGTAACTGCACATTGTTTTGAAATGTGTTGTGGGATAAGATGTCACCTGCTGGCTGGCGAGGATTAATAAGCAAAGAAGATTAGTCTATTATTATGCATACATGGGGCACCGATGGAAAAATAAAGTTGGCATAATGGAAGTGTAACAAATATTTTGAAAACACAAATAATGGACAAAGAGATTTAAGAGATTGTGGCTGCAAAAGGTTCAGTCCTAGATTAAATAAAGAATCAGAATTTTGATTCACCAAGTACATACATACAAGGAAGGAAAGTAAAATTATATGATTGAATTATTTTTTTTTAAAATATGTGTAATAAAAACAATGGTAACTACATAGGATCATATATTCATTATATAAATAATAATTGAAGATGGATTCTTATGTGACTTTTCTTATTTTGTAAATTTGTATTTATGTATTTGATTTTTTTTACGGTGACAATGTTCAACTGATGTCCCTTAGGCTGTAATTTATGCTACATAGTGTGCAAAGATACCAAGAACAGAAAATGTGACAAAATAAAATGACAAAGCTGTTGAGGAAAACAGCAGAAACTGATCATCGTTTCAATGTGTTTAACACTGACCAAAGAATATTATGCCCATATAAAAATAAAGTTAGCTATAAGTATTAAGTAAGTATTAAGTTATTAAGTGTTTTTCTCACGACAAACAGGACTTTCCCCCTCCTAAATGTATCTTTTATTCTAGTGAGAGGCTGCATGTCATTTTTTGTAATAACGAAACATAAAAACGTAGAATTACATTTTTTGCACTTTTACGACGGTCCCTAACTTCAGTGGGTCATCTCCCTCTCTACTGTCAGTCCGTGCAAGCTTTTCAAATCGCTACATCATATCAGCTCCTGATGTGAAATAAACAACACCAGTGCAACATTAGGCGACATTTATCCTGCACACCACAACAGAACTGATGACCACTGATGATGATGGTGAAACGTACGGCGGATCGAGTGTGTGAATAACATCAAACCGACCTACACCTCAGCAGCTGGTGCTGCCGGGCCGGCTGTGTCGCCAGTCAGAGGCAGAGGACCCGACCATCTGAAGCGGAGTGGGGGTAGTCAGCTAAGCTGCTTATAGCCCGGCCAGAAGGCCCACGGTTGAACAGATGCAAAGAATGGACGGCTTCATCATCGCAGCGAAACATGGCATATAAAAGGAGGCGTTGTTCGCTACTGCTGGCATCGACATAACTGGATCAGCCCTCCTGAAGGTGAGTATCTGTGCCTTAGAGCGCCGGACCTCATCTAGTGTTATTCAAGATCCACCAATATAACGCTATGCTCCGGCCCGATGCCGTTAGCAGGCTTTCTAATGTAGGGGGAATAATAGCGGGGTTGGGTAGACTGTTAATATGAGGCAGCAGTGAATGTAGTGCACTAATGTAATCTGAGCGAGTCATGATTTTTTCTTCAACGGAACCCGGATTTTAGTGCTGCGTTTAAAGACTCCACGGACATTAGGTCCACCTCTTGTTTTGTGTCCATGGATGCGTCTTGCCGCTGCAGCCGGTCTCAGCCTGCTCTTCAGCCTCATTGAAAATGTAGTGACCTTCATGTTTTCAACACACACAATTGAATTCAGTGGCAGTGTTGGCACAGAATTTTTTTTCTTATTATTTAATGTATTTTTGTATAACCTACATGGAAAACACTTTGATATGTAAATATAACATCTCATATAAACAGTACAGTCAACATGTCATGGCTTCCCCAGTATGATAGTGGGCACATGTTTGCTGGCAGGACATATGATTGTAAACTCTGTGGAAGGAGGCTCATTTGGAGAAAGGTACTACATATGCACAGAAAAGCACAGTGCAAATAAAAGTAATGGAAATGGTGTGTTATATATATATTTTAGATTACATTTTGCTTTTCAGACTTTGTGTTGCACATGGAATGCATGTCTCTTCAGACAACTGTGCTGTGTCCAAGTTCAAGAGCAGTCCTCTCTAAATCCATAACAATGTAACAGGGCCGTTCTCTCCAACCCTGCTCCACATGTGCCTGGGAAATGTGGCCTTGCCTTTTTTCCAATCCTCTGTATCCCAAAATCCAGTGTACACTGGTGATATGCTAATACTTGTCAACTAGCACAGCCAGGAAATATAATTTTTCACTAGGTGTGATAGACAAGTGACAAGAAAATAGAAACACATATACAGTGTAGTCTAATACAAAGCAATACAGTAAATCTAAATGCTGTCTTCCTAAAAGTATTTGTTGAGACTACTACTTCAGCTGTTCTCTGATGTACATATCCAGACTTTAGCTACTTTGTCATTGTGTTATAAATGAGTCTTTTTAATATTTTCTCCTTGCTGTTTAAAATTGAAATTAAATATTAGAAACACATTAGAGTTTAAAGTGATCCAATACAACAACATTACAGCATAAACTAATTTACACCTCTTTGTCCCTTCTGCCTTTAAAATGTATTTTTTAATACAAGAATGTATTCGATTGCATTGGATTAGAGGACTCAATTCTCTTTTGGATATTTTTTTCTGGTCACTGATCACTGTGAATAGGAATATGATTCAGACATAAACTCTATTGTGTTAGCAGCCTGGATATGCCTTCATTGCCAACACCAAATCATTTACAAATACAGTATTGTGACAGAAAAATTTAAGTTATATGGATATGTTTGTCATGTAACTGTTGTTGCAGTTGTCCATCCTGTATTAAAGTCAAAGTCACAACTATGTAAACTTAGGTAATATGGAACAGAGTTTTATGACATTTACCACTTTACCCATCCAAGGACAAATTCCTGGTGGTAAACGTGAATATTTTAGATTTTACAAGTTGGCAAGGACTGCCACAAGGCACCATTAATTGTGCCCTCTGTGGGGGCAGCAGTAGCTGTGTACAAGTCTAAATCCTGTTTGGGAGCTAAGCTAAAGTAAAAGCGTTGTCCTGCATTAACATATTTCTATTATTATTTTCATAAATTCACATTCTGCCAAAATTACTTGTTCACTGGTCACAGCTAAAAAGCTTTGTTATAAATGGAATTGCTAAGACAAAGATAGCAGAGAGAGATTAAACTTCAACCTTACTCAAAAAGCTTGTACTGGACTGCAGAAAGACAGCTTACAGCTGCTTGTGCCAAAGCCTATGTGTGAAATCTAGGTGGCCATAATTTACACAAACATACTTTGCTAGGTCCATTATGGACACAAAAATCTACGGGGGTAAGAATCTCTGTATATATTTTGTAATGACAATAACATAGCATTGTGTTAATTCATATTCTCTGTTGCAGGAATGTTCACCCTCACAGAAGTAGCCTCCCTTAATGACATTCAGCCAACTTATCGAATACTGAAACCATGGTGGGATGTCTTCATGGATTATCTTGGTATTGTCATGTTGATGTTGGCCATATTCTCTGGAACGATGCAGTTAACTAAGGACCAAGTGGTTTGTCTTCCTATTCTGGAACAAACTGCAGAGGGGACAGGGGGCTTCTTGGGACCTCAACCGCCGGAGACACCTGATAGTTTATGGAACAAAGAAAGCGCCATTGGAGAGCAAGCAGCTCCTTTGATGGCTAAAAGGCCTCCTGATAGCATCGCCCCTACAATTCACTTCACACAGCCGGGTACATTTGGGCAGCCTCAGCCTACAGGTGTCAGGACCAAGCTGGATTTTCAGCAGTATGTTTTTGTCAACCAGATGTGCTACCATGTTGCCCTTCCATGGTATTCCAAATATTTCCCGTACCTCGCTCTAATCCACACTATTGTACTGATGGTCAGTAGCAACTTCTGGTTCAAGTACCCAAAAACCAGTTCCAAAATAGAACATTTTGTTTCCATACTGGGAAAATGTTTTGAATCGCCATGGACCACCAAAGCCCTGTCTGAGACAGCATGCGAGGACTCGGAGGAGAACAAGCAGAGATTGGCTGGCGCTTCCTCCCTACTGAAGCATCTGTCCACAAGCAGTGAGGAGGGCAGTCCGAACCAGTCTGCCCCAATTCTAACTAAATCTGGGGTCACATTTTCTGTTGAAAAGCTTGTGAGTGAAGTTCCTTCTATGACCATACTGGACAAGAAAGATGGTGAGCAAGCAAAAGCCCTGTTTGAAAAAGTCCGTAAATTCCGTGCCCATGTGGAAGACAGTGACTTGATTTACAGACTGTATGCCATTCAGACAGTCATCAAAACAGTTAAATTCATTTTGATCCTGTGCTACACAATGACTTTTGTTGCCTCAATTGATTTTGACCATGTGTGTGAGCCTGAAATAAAGCATTTGACTGGATACGCCAAGTTCCATTGTACACACAACATGGCGTTCATGTTAAAGAAACTCCTTGTTAGTTATATTGCTATCATATGCGTTTATGGCATAATCTGTATATATACACTGTTCTGGCTTTTTCGGCGACCACTTAAGGAGTATTCATTTGAAAAAGTCAGAGAGGAGAGCAGCTTCAGTGACATTCCAGATGTTAAGAATGACTTTGCGTTCCTCCTCCACATGGTCGATCAGTATGACCAGCTGTATTCGAAGCGTTTTGGTGTTTTTCTCTCTGAGGTGAGTGAGAACAAACTTCGGGAGATCAGCCTGAACCATGAGTGGACCTTTGAAAAGTTAAGGCAGCATGTGACACGCAATCCTCAAGAAAAGTTGGAACTCCATCTTTTTATGCTGTCTGGAGTGCCAGATGCTGTGTTTGATCTAACTGATTTGGAAATCCTTAAACTAGAATTAATCCCAGAGGCCAGGATAACAGCTAAAATCTCACAAATGATAAACCTCCAAGAGCTGCACTTCTATCACTGTCCGGCCAAAGTTGAACAAACTGCTTTCATCTTTCTCCGTGATCACCTTCGGTGCCTTCATGTCAAATTTACAGATGTTGCCGAGATTCCCAGCTGGGTATACTTGCTGAAAAACTTAAGGGAACTATACTTGGTTGGTAACCTGAACTCTGAAAACAACAAAATGATCGGACTCGAGTCTCTGCGAGACCTCAGGCACTTAAAGATACTGCATCTCAAAAGCAACCTCACAAAGATCCCGACAAACATAACCGATCTGTCTCCGCATCTGATCAAGTTGGTTGTTCATAATGATGGTACGAAGCTCTTAGTACTGAATAGCTTGAAGAAAATAATGAATCTTGCTGAACTGGAGTTACTTAACTGTGAGCTGGAGAGAATCCCCCATGCTATCTTCAGTTTGAACAACCTTCAGGAACTGGATCTAAAATCTAATAACATTCGTACCATCGAGGAAATCATCAGCTTTCAGCACCTCAAGAGACTGACGTGCCTCAAACTTTGGCACAATAAGATCACTGCCATTCCATTGTCAATTAGCCATGTCAAAAACCTTGAGTCGCTCTATCTCTCACACAACAAGCTTGAGTCTCTACCCTCATCCTTATTCACCCTTCTCAAGTTGAGGTACCTCGATGTTAGCCATAACTCTATAGTGGTTATTCCACTGGAGGTCGGCTTTCTGCAGAACCTCCAACATTTTGCCATCACCGGCAACAAAGTCGAGATAGTTCCCAAGCAACTGTTCAAGTGCACCAAATTGAGGACCTTATGTCTCGGCCACAACTGTATCTCCTCCATTCCAGAGAAGATTGGCCAACTCTCGCAGCTGACACATCTGGAACTGAAGGGAAACTGTCTGGATCGTCTCCCGGCTCAGCTTGGTCAGTGCTGCCTCCTGCGCAGGAGCTGCCTGATCGTGGAGGATCATCTCTTTGACTCACTCCCCATGGAGGTCAAAGAGAGCATCAATCAGGAATCTAGTGTTTCTTTTCCAAATGGGTGCAAGTGTCTAAGTGATGGCCGGTAGTCACATCCTACATGGCATCAAGTGTCATGCATTTCATCTTAGGTGTAAAGTAGTCTTTGTTTTAATCATGTCATTAGAAAAAGTAGTTCAGGGTACAGTATTGGTATGCTTCATGATGTTTTAGCAACTTATCAAATAAACACACCACAGCACATACAAGGTCGGTACCACTGGAGACATTTTAAATGAACTATAGAAATGATCATGGCTTGTGTCATGTCTATATATATATATAATTTATTTATATTTTTATTTGTTTATTTTTTCATTTTGTGTTAATGTTAATGTAGGTGCATTGTAGCTCACTCTGCTTATGTTTTTTACCTTTTGTATGCAAAATTATCTACAGTGGATCAGAAATTTGTATCATTTTGAAACAGTCCACCTTTTTATCTCTCCAATTTGACTTGGTTTTCCTCAGATTAGATACACTTGAGTGACCTCAACCTAAAGGAATGGTTCACTCAAATAAAAAAAAAAATTAGCTTTCCTCTAATATCGAACCATGCAGGCAATTTTGGTTTTGACAGAGGTTTCCATCTCCACCAAATAAATTGGATGCAAATAGAATTTGGTCTGTGGTGCTCACAGCAATAAAATATTGTATTTGAAGACAATCGAACAGCAACATTCCTTTTCAGAATTTATTACACCTATATTTAATCAAATAAATATTCTTAGTGTTTACAGCAAGTATGTTGATTATCCAGAGTGACCAGGGCATTGTGTCTGGAAAGAGATGTTGCTGTTGAAATATTCAACACTGCAAGTACCATAAACAAAATTCCCTCCCCCTCCATTATATGGAGGAGAAATCACAGATATAGATTTCTCAAAACTTGAACCAGTAAAACCAAAACTATCTGCATGTTTAGATACTGAAGTAAAAACGTTCACTTTTTTTGTTATTTGGGTGAACTGATGCTTTAAAAAACTACAATTTCTTTAAAACAATCTCAACTCAAGGTCCAGTTACCAGCCTCGGCCATGTGGACATGCAGGCAAAACTCCCTTCACTGTGGTAGACTGCAAAAAATGGATGAAAGCTCCAGAAAAAGATAGTAAGTTGAGTGAAGATTATTACTACTGCTACTACTACTTCTAAGGTCAAGAATGACTCGTTTACTCTACCACTGCAGTATAGACCACAACCAATATCATTTGCTGCACAAAAAAATTGAAAAATTGTATAGGTATAGTTGTATTCTTATTAACCTAATGCATTCCAATTTAAATATACTTGTACTATATTTTCAAGTTACAAACCAAAATTAAAAAGTTTCCCATGATACTTTTTCTCTACTTCTAAAAATGTCTTGAATCATGCCATCATTATTTTTGATACATTTGTTTTTTTTCCTTTCTTGTGTACAGCCAACCCACAATTACATCAGTTGTACTTTTGCTCTCACGTTTAATTGCGCTTTTCTTTTTGTAAACAGCATATTATCATGTATTTTGTGTGTTTTTATGTATTTATTATCTCATTGTCTTTTATCTGTTCTTCTCTCTGCACAGCACTTTGTAAATCCGGTTTTAAAATGTGCTATATGAATAAAGGAATTACTACTATATTATACTATTATTATTCAAATTATTCAAAGCTAGAAATAAAGCCAAAATTGTTATTTCACCACAAAACATATTTAATTAATTTTGAATTATTCTATATACTTGTACAGTTGAACCTTTTTACCTGAAACTCCGTTAAACTAAATTTAAATTAATTTCATCTCAATCATATGAGTAACTGCTTAGTGTCTGCCCAACTCTGTCATCAGGACCACAACTTGGAAAATTCCTACCAAGTCCTATTATTAGAGAGCCTCTAACTATAAATTTAATGAGGTTTCTAAATATTGTGACCAATATTGTATCCACACTACATTTGTAGAAGTGTCCCCCCCCCCAATTTGTGGACAGTAATAACAATTTATTAAGATAAGCCAGACGTACTTATCTTGATTTCTATGATTTGCTAACAGCAATATTCTTAAATGCAAATCCTTTACTACATAAAAACAATTATGTATTTGTTACAGATTACATTTTTGAGGTTTTAAATTTGTATATTAAAATGATCTCAGTAAGCATATGCAGTTTTGCCAACACTTCCTTTCCTTCTGTCACATCCTTCAACATACTCCTATACTACACCTCTTGGGCCAGTTCATTTAATGTAATACTTGTGAATAACATCAATTTTCTAGGAGGACCAGGCCATCAGTACTGTGCTGTATTTCACAAAATATATTCAATTCACTCACTGATTATGCGTGACAATCTGTGTGTGTGTATGAGAGAAAGACAGAGTTGAGTGCATATGAATACTGAGGCTCTCCACTGGAAGAAATATGAATTACTATAAATGATTATTGATATACTATCTTGAGTCTAGTGTGGGTTTGTGATTCTAATGTGGCCTCTCCATAAGCTACAAACAAGATCCAACACTTACTATGTCATGTGTGTAACATGAGAGTGAAGGTTCTCCACTGTGGACAGAGTGACAGCAGGCCAACATTTCAAGAATCTCCTGCAATTTCTCACGTGAAATGAGGTCCAAACCTCTTATTTGCATAACATTTTACATGTTAAAACTGTTATCATAAGACTCCATAGTTACACTTATCAAAAAAGAGAATGCCAACGTATTGCATTCAGTATTGAAAACCACCTTCATAATTAACCTTCAGCACCAAACTTCATTCATTTTTCCTATAATATACATGTAGTATATACACTATATACACTGTACTTGGTTCCAACCATGATAAAACTTGATGTCATCAGTAAAGACAAAAAGAGTAGAGTACCGGCATATGAAACTGAACACATTGCTTGGATGGTGTTGCCCTCTGGTGGAAATTACTAGTTACTACATATTATTATTATTTTTATTACTAACACTATGGGTATCATTTTTGCTGCTGCCATTACACATGTTGAACATTACTGAATTGTATACATTGTCTGTTAGCTAGATCATAATTTTCAGCTGCCTTTGTCTAGGTAATTGTTAGTGATTAATTAACCTTTACATTTCCTGTAATTGTTAAACAATGTAAGTGAGATTCATTTGGTATTTTGGAAACATGTTAACTGAAGGCCAGCCGGCAATGTAATATCAGAGCATGTATGATTCTCATCAGAATACATACAGACCCATGTGCTGACAGGCAGGAAACTTCCTTGGGCAGGTTTACAGGTTTAGTCAAACACTGACAAATTCATACTGATGAATTACGGGTTCAAGTTCACCTGATCAATAATAATTTACTTAATTCAGTGTCAGTTAATATAGATGTGCTCTGAGAAATCTCATTATATCATATTGTATTACATCACATCATTACAAACATGGTAGCCTGTTACCTGAAAAAATCGATCTTTTTAAACACGTCATTGATTGTTTTTGTTTATATTTAACTCATCAGTACAGCACAAGACAGAACAACAACACAGGGCATAATACAGGATTGTGTGAAATGAATTTTCACTCAACTTCACGTTAAACAACACTTCTACACCCTGTTTACCTTGTCCAAGTCTGTTACTGAAAAATTACCCCAGTCCCCCAGTCTCCAACTATTTTCTTAGTGCCCAATATCGAAATTGTAGATTCTCTAATGAATTAATTACTGTTCAGTTATATAGTATAATTAAGGGGCAACCAATGAGTGGTGAATTTGTTATCACTGGGTTAAAAGGTCCTGGGATAAAATCCAGAAATGGCCGTCTGGGGTATAGATAATGGATGGACAAAAAATAAAGTAAATCATTTATAACAAACTACAATGTAGTTGCAAGCAGATAGAAGTAGATAGAAGCTATAAAGTGTTTAATAATGTATATATCAACAACCATAACTCCTCTTATGAAGCACCTATAACTGCTGTATAAACTTTTATTGAATGCTTGACAACATAATATAACATAGTTGTAGGTATAGATATATATTTAAATAACTTTCTTAAACCTGGCTGTGAATGATTTTCTATGTGTATAAACAGTTCATAAATGCCTTATAACACAATTATTACATTAGCAGAGTTATTATTGTTGACAACCCCACTGATAAAAACTTAAAATTGTATGTAACCAAGTGCTATATTTTGCTGATAAATGTTATATAGTTTATAATAATTATATACATCCCTGCTTCCATTTCATTATATTCACCTTTTTAATTAATTTTGTGTAAACTTTTTATTTCAGCACTAAAGCAATACTAACCTATACAGTGTTATAATGTAATATATAACCAGTGATTCTCTCTAGCCTGATTTGTGCCCACCACTAGTGGGCATGCTACAGTACTTTAGCCTGGCATGCTTTTAGCCTACATTCAGCCTAGCATACACAAATGTAAACAAACGCACTGTGAATTACACACAGGGCGTACATCACCAAACCAGACTTGATTGTGACGATTGTGCCATTTGGCTCCTCGGCTCTGGGCAGGGAGGAACAAACACATGTCGTGATAACTCTGGATGAGCAGCAGAGGGAGAGGATGCATGACTTTAAGCCGGCCTGACACTGGGGTTGTTAGAAGTCTGCCATCAGGTGGATGAAGAAAACACACAGCCTACAGTCCAGCCTTCATTACTTCCTTGGAATCAAGCGATGGCCTTAGCACTCGTCACAAACACTTAGCGTGCACTCTCCCCTTGCAGGACGACGCTGCCAGCCATATTTGTATGAAGTGGTCATCTCAGAACCGATGGCCATCAACCCATACTGCAAGCCGGGGACGGAGCCAACATGATGTCAATTTAAAAGGTTGAGTGGCTCCTCAATCTGTGCATCTCCGTTTTACAGAGCACACAGTTTGACACATCAGCCGAGGAGACAAGTTATTGCTTTAACGACCTGCTGTGTATTCTGCGCATCCTGGTGTGATGGGTGCTGCCTGGTTTGTCCTTGGCAGACAACATATTTTTAACAAATGCAGGTGTTTATGGAGGATAATAAGCACTCATAAGCACTGACGTAACAGCAAGAGAAATTCATTTGAATTTGGGCTGCTGTGGCCAATTTATCTTTTTCCTGGTATTTCTGGTAATAAGACATAAGCATTTTATTTTGAGTAAGTGTGGCTGCGCTGGGAGTTTTGGGTCTCTATGTGGCCTGCTACTCCGCTCATGCCCCGAGGAAAGCGGCAGATCTTCAGCGACAGCACTTTGTGAGCACTTGCACAGCTGATGAGCTGTAATTATGTTTTAATTATTTCTGTAGGGCATCATTCTCTCCCAACGTGAACCACCCTCCCACACACGCACACACCCACCCACCCCCTGCAAATGAAGACATTCAGTATTTTGAAAACATTTGGTGATGAAACTCTCTTCAGTGAAGTCCACTAATTACTGCACAGCCTCGTGTCAGCACCCATAGAAAGCAGCTTTGATGTCTACTGCCCAGGATGATAATCAAGGGCACAGATCACATGTGATTGGCTGTAATTGGGACAAGTTGTTTAAAAAAAGGGCACCACATGACTTTGACGGCTGCTTCGCACAGCCACTGCTCCGAGACACTAACCCCACCCTCCCCCATCCTGTGCCCACGGGTGAGGAAGCCTTGTCACTTATTAAGCAGGCTGTTGCCGTGAAGTGACAGATGTCCTGATGTGATCTGTCTGCATCTTTGGCCTCCATCTGTCTTGTTAGTACAAATAGTTAAGGATGGTGTGAGGAGAGAGCTGTTGTGCTTTCATATATGTTAAATGTATTGGAAGCTCTCGTTTCTGGGAGCTGAAACTAGCTCCCCTGGCAATCCCTCCACAACAATCTCTCAGCTCTTCTTTTCCTCCCCTTGTTTTTCAAGGTTTCCCTGCCTCCTCCACCACTTCTGCAGGCCCTGATGTTTCGGGTTCAGTGCCACTGAACCATATCTGAATCTCCATTTTTGCTCTGCTTTGCTCCCTGCTTGGCAGAGAAAGATTAGGGGCTCGGGTCCTGAGGTGCGTATCCCACCCTCTCTCCGGTCCTCACACCCTCCCTCTTCTCACCCATCCTCAGAGATTCAAATCCTTTTAGCTTCTTCCTCAGGTAAAATTGCCAAGGACCTTGTGAGCCCTAGGTTCCCCTGGAGGTAAAATCTATAATGGAGTTTTGATTTGAGCAAGAACAGCCTTGAAAATGGACTTCTTTAACCAGGTAGCTGCCTCGCAGAAGGTCAACAGTACTCCAGGTGGACACAACATGCCACAACTGTGTTAGAAAAAGGCAGAACAAAGGAACAGTTTTATTCCAAAGAAAGTGACCTGTAGACACTGTTGTAAATAAAAAATCAAAGTGATGCTTTTGTAAAATTTTAAAACTGATTATTCAGCATCATAGAGTATCAACATCAGCCCACACATTTTTCTCCATTGGCAGAATAATCTAATTATTTATGTCCATTGTGGTTTAGATATGTCAGATAAAAAAATGGCCAGATTTGACTGAAAATGACTACAGATGAATGAAATTGCCAAGAATTAAACTGATCAGTCTACATTTGGTCAATAATGTTCTTTTTTTTTTTGCCACCTTAACTCAAAGATAGAGGGCACCAAAGCCTCAGTTTT